AATTAATTTCTGAATTTCTCACTAAAAGTGAGATTGAAAGTATCGAGTCACGTAGAAAAGTAAAAAAATATGAAGGTAGTCATCTCTCAAAATCACATTTCCGAAGATTAGGCAATGAAGAAGTATCTGGTAGCAAGACAGGGAGAACTCTGAGCAGCAGGATTTGCTGTGAGAATCAAATACACATCTCACACACATACAGGTAAACTAATAACTGTTATCTGCAGCGAAAAATATTATTGAAACTAGAAGAAAACTAAAAATAGAAAAGAGGAAAATCAACCAAGAAAAACGTACCAACAGCAAAAAAACCTTAGGGCTACGAAACATTATCAATTTATTTTCCAAAATGAAATTTGTTCCATTCATTTGAATTTTATCCACATAATTTTTGTCATATTTCTGTTTGCTGACAATTACAATATCTGATTCGATGGAATTTGCCCATCATTGCAAATCAAAATTATTCATGTTAGGGAACACATTGAAAGTATGAAAAATGAAAAACAATATTAGGATTAGATGAAACCTGACCTAGTTCACAAGTTGACAGTAGAGTTCGTGATATTGAAGACTACACAATGATTGGGAAGGACCATCAACGAGGCCGTGATGGTGGTATAACTCTTTATATGCAAAAAAAAACAACCGTTTCATATAGATATCTACTTCTGGTGGAATCAAACAACTGTGGATAAGTTTCAGAATGGATAAAATGAAAATATGTGTTGGCATTGTGTATAGACTTCCCGACTTTTCTGTTAATGAATATTTCGATGAATTGGACTGCAACTAGTCAAGATCCTTCTCTGAATATGAGAAAGTTTTATGTTTGGGTAATTTATATATTGATTTTCTAAAATATGATTTGAGTGCAAATTTCAGAATAACCTTGAATTGAGCTAATCTCATTGATCTTATAATTATCATCAATAATAAAAAATATTGTTGCAATTGCGAGAGTGGTTTCGGTATCACACATATCAGATAATGAACTGACTTATGTAGAACTAGACAATAACTCGATTGAAAGATCATATCATGTTTTAATATCATTTGGATCGAAATATTTGAAGTAATAAAGGAATGGAGATTACATACACTAAAATTTAATCTTTCATTACACAAATCAACAAAATAATCAATTCAGCAAACAGAACGTTAGGCGTTCTCATGAGATAAATGTATCCTCTCAAGGTACAAGGTACAAGGTAATGATGTCTTTACTATCTGATGACTCTTGCAATGATTTTTGGTACATGTACAAACAGGCTTCAATTCTGATGATATGAAATTATTTAATTTTTCAGCCATTTCACTTATTATACTTGTATCAAATATACTATACTTATACAGATATATTAACATTGACAATTTTTGTGATCTTATAGATTGAGTGTGTACGTCCAAGGTTGGATTTGAAAGCAGCTTCAATAGCTGAACCCCGCCCATTCATCATTCTTGTTGAATAGGCATTTATAAACCATTGAATATGATGAACAAAGGCATCACCAACCCCCCATACCGTGGGATGGGTGATCATTGGGTCCGAGAATCATGTGCCCTGAGCAATCACAGTGAGGCAAGAATGACAGCCTTCTGTATCTGTTCGGCAAGCCAGTATGATTTTAAGATTTGAAAGTAGAGAGGGCATCATTCCACCAAGGACTCCATTAATCAGAACAACCATTTCGACAGAGTGATCTGGATAGAGTCCGCGGAGTTCGAAGAGAAAATCTCGATATTTCATCCGTTTTTCCTCCTCTTTTCTGACGATAATCGTCTCGCTAGAAGCGGAAAAACTCCACGACAAATATCGTCTTGCTCTGGTGGTCGAGAAGGACTACATCAGGCTAATTAGCTTGTATGAGCCTGTGGAGGGGGGAAGAACAGTTCTAATAAATTCAACATTTCTTGTTCCCCAAAACGGATTAAATATCCCCCTGAGCGTAGGGCAACACCTGTGTCTCGGCAATACCGTAGATGGTAATATAGCACTCTCAAGGCCGCGTTATGTCGATGGATATAGGCCGAGACCGCATATGCTGGACATGCTGATAGCAAGTGCATTGGGGTCTTGGGCGCCTCGCGGTAGGATCTGCACCTTGTGTCAGAAATCTCCATATCCATCACGCGACTGCTGTAGACTAAGGTGTTGAAGACACCATCCTGACGAGCCATGATGAACCCCTCAGTTTCCGACTCGACCTGAGATAATCGAACGTCAGGCGCTTTGATAAGCCCAGGTCTCCAATGTTATTGAAGAAGACCCCAAGCATTGGCTTATCCTTGTGTTTCCGCACAAGTGTCGAAAACTAAACCGAGTTCTTCAGCTGCTCGGGCAGCTGTGTAGAAGAAAATGCTCCAATTCCTGCTCTCTCACGGTCACGGACCATGCAGAGATGGGGATCCGAATTCCTGACCACTTTACAGGCCATATTCAGTACCATTCTGTTATGTAGATACTCCAAACTCAAAAGTATACGGTCTCCCTGTTGTTGGGGGACGTACAACTGTGGAACGGACAATTTGGGATGCAAACTCCTATGGAGATGCATCATTTTTCGGGTCTTTACGTCGAGTTGATACAGCTCCTCTCGAGTCCACTTCACTTCTCCAAACGAGTAGAGTAAGATTGGAATGGCAAGCATATTTGTTGCAGCAACTTTGTTCTTTCCCGACAGTTCCGATGATCGGATCTGTCGAAGTTCGTGCTGATACTTGCCGCGGAGGTAAGTATACGTCTCTCCGACATCTAAATGGTGTAGGATGCTTCTACGACCTGCATATCTCCTCTGTAGTCCCTGCATCGACCTCTTTTGAGATGGACCATTGCACATTTGTCTATCCAAAATTCCATACCGATAGCATGCGTGTACTCTTCCACCACTAAAACAAATGGGTGACCTTGTGCCTCCGGTTTCCGGGGGTGCCACAATTATACCATCGAGTATTTCTGAGCGCAACGAATAATGGAAATAGTGAGATGCAGAAGAGAAAGGGACTGAGGGAATCGCCCTGAAATACACACTTTCTGAAAGTGGCCCACCCTGTTTGGACTCTGGCTTGACCAGACGTTATGGTGAAGCAAGTTCGCCAGAGTGGTATCAGTTGTTCAATGCATCTCACTTCTTTGGCGGGTACCGCAAGGCATCTGAGCAGATGCAAGAAGGGCTCATGCGATATTTTATCAAATGCCTTACGGTAATCGATCCATTATTATTATTATAAGTCATGCTAGGCTAATTCGCGAATGCCTTGCTGGACTCAACTGCGGATAAGCATAGTTTGAGTGTTTTATCAATCCCATAATTTGCATCTTCGTAAGGGGCAGCAAAGTATTTGTGGTTCAGCCTATGTTTGGTCGAAATAGCGCTGTCTGGTGTTGGATGTTTCAGTTCTAGGGTCTTGTTTCAAAGATTTAAAATATGAATTTATCCTCAAGAAAATGAATGTAAATGGACTCGCATCTTTCTTAAAGTGATACTCATACAAAGTTTCTGAGAAATTTTGGATGCCATTTCAAAGACTCACCGTAATGAAGTATACCAGAAAAACCGATACCTGAGTTTATTCAGAAAACTAGAAATCATAAATTAGTCAAAATTTGTTTTGTTACTTTCTTGAGTATATAACTTCTATAAGAAATTTTGCCTGAACACTGAATCAAGAAAAAATAATTCATTCATAGTTTGAAATCAATACCAATAAAGCATGTTTTCATAATTACTCAATCATTTACCGACTGAATACAACGAGAACCGAAATGGGAGCTAAACAAAAAGTTTGAGTTTTTCTCAAACATGAGTCTTTCAAAAAGTGTTGGAGTCAAATTAGATAATAAATTTCAGGTACTTCATGAGTTTTTGAGAAAAAACTGTGAGGTATAAAGACTATAAGAATAGGTTCCGTTCGAGTAATATAAGGGCTGTAATAAAAAACTTATAATGAATTTTTCGAAAGAATCGAATTGCCTCTCTCGTCAATATCTCATTCAGTAGAACACTTTTTTGAAGGTAACTATAAAAGTGTCACAAGTTCTCAAACTATCTTTAACATTGTACTCTATCAATGTTACAAATTTCCTGTTTGGAATATCATCGTTTCTAAGAAGCTGATTTGGCTTTTGCATAATATGCATACTGCAAACACAATCATCTGCCTTTTGATGCTTCGGTAACTAATAAATATTGTTCTTGTTCCGTCTAGAAAGCAGGCAATCCTACGAGGGCTCACGGTGATCACTGTGTTCAATTTTCATTATTCACATATGATACATTATTATTATTCATTGAATTCAACCAAGCATATATCTGCCTTAAACAACCATGAAAAAAAATCAAAACTGATTTCGATTAACAACACTTCTATACACTAACTCTGATATAGAAGAGATGAATGGATATTTTTGTATATATATTATGTACAGAGTGGACCAAATTAGACACTTTCAAAGGAAAACTCACGTTTTCAAACTGGAAAGATGAAAACTGATAGCTATGTCTGAGGGTAAAATTTCATGACAAACCTAATGGTGAAACCCGTATATGGATATCTATCATCGTTTCTGAGTTTGAATCATGTTTTCGAAAATGTGCATTCGACATTGTCATCAACAAAACTTCTAGTATAGATTGATTTTTTGTTATATTATAATTCTTGTTTCTGAACTTAATCATCGGGAGGATCTTGAAGCAGGATACACTATTTATGTACCATAAAAAATGATCAAATCTGTAAATTATCCTATAAAGTTATCGATTAGTTAACTATACAAAACAAAGTTGTTCGGTTTATTCCGAGAGGTGAAAAGTAGTTTTTTGAAGCTATGTTCATCACTAGTATGTTGGTAGTAGACATTCGAACCATTCACGGGAATTTAGACATATTTTCGTGTTTATAATACACCTGATTATGACCCATAAAACCATAATCCATATCATCCATTTATATGATACAAAATATCAGTGAAGACTATAAAAGAATGGGAATATGACAGATTCAGCAGTAGGGTCAATTGGATTTGTAAGTGGAATTCAAATAAAATCATGCTGCTCAAAGTGCTTGTCGTTATTCTTTCTCTGGTCTCGCCGATTTTATCAAAATCGACTTTGCTGTCCGTGGTTCAGGTATTGAATCATTTTTCATGAATACTCCTTATGAATGATTGACTAATAGTTCTCTTCACCAATTCGGGATTCAAGTAAATCAATTTTTTCATTTCTAGGTCTTCCGTCATGGTCAGAGGACTCCTTACACTCACTATACCAATGACCCTTACTCGGATTCGGCATATTGGCCTGTTTCAAGAGTTAACCAATGTGAGTACCAAACGTCAAAAATTCAAATGGTATTGAAATAATTTTTTAGTTTTTGTTTTTTGGAATGAAAAATCTAGCAGCATCAGATTATGGTTGGAGGGTTGAGCTTGACATATGAGATTCAATACGCACACTAACAAGTTTCATAACTATCCTTGTCTCGAATTTCACTAGTTCGGACTTCAATTGTCTGATATATAAAATGATTTGAAATCCCTGAAACAACTAAAAAAGGAAAATTAAAAATTGATAGCTGGAAATAACAATTATATTAAGAAAAAATAACCTGAAATGAAATAATAGTGAAATAAAATACAAGTAAAAATAGATCGATTGAACAAAAAATAAAAATGAAAAGTTAAGAGATTCCAAGCCACGTTAGTTCACGACGTTTCGATTGTTAGTATCTACAATCGTCTTTGGGTGATGACTGGACTGATTTCTCCGAGAGATGACTATTTATGGGTCGTTCGAGTACATTCACGTATCCCCGCTCGAACGACCCATGAATAGTCGTTCGAGCGGGGATAAGTGAATGTACTCGAACGACCCATAAATAGTCATCTCTCGGAGGAATCAGCCCAGTACCAGCTCAAAGGGCAAGGAAGCAAGGCTCCAGCCTGAAAGAACTCAAGATGGCTGTCGATGAATCAGTCCAGTCATCACCCGAAGACGATTGTAGATACTAGCAATCGAAACGTCGTGAACTAACGTGGCTTGGAATCTCTTAACTTTTTATTTTCATTTTCATTTTTATTTCTTCATTTTTTGTTCAATCGTTCTATTTTAACTTGTATTTTATTTCACTATTATTTCATTTCAGGTTTTCTTTTGCTTAATATAATTGTTATTTTGAGCTATTCATTTATGATTCTTCTTTTTTTAGATGTTTCAGGGATTTCAAATCATTTTATATATTAGACAATGGAAGTCCGAACTAGTGAAATTCATCATGAAACATTGTCAATTACCTTCAATTATCCTTGTCTCTTTCTCACGTTCCAAATATATGTTTTTTTGTTGATTTTCATCTCATCTAATCTTGAAAACCGTTGAAAGTATTTGGTGGATGGAATGGAATTGTTTTCAGATAATTTTTTTATTCATTGTCCATTATATTGCACTTCAAATCCAATTTCACTGAATACATGAATTAAATATATGTTTTTGTTTCAGGTTGGCAAAACTCAGCACTACAGACTTGGTCAATATACCCGTCAGAGGTACAGCAATTTTTTACCAAACGCTTATTCAGAAAAGTTTTTTTTTGCTCAAACGACAGATGTCGATAGGACTCACATGTCAGCTCAGTGTAACCTCCTTGGGCTGTTCCCTCCTACTGTAACGGAACTATGGAACACTGAGATAGCTTGGAGTCCCATTCCCGTTCACCCTTCAGATCCAGCTGTCATGAGCGCGACTTCATCGTGTCCTGCCTATTACAGGAAATACAACAAAGTATTAAAAAACGAACCGTACTTTCAGAATATTGACAAAACGTATGCAGAGACGTATGAGTATCTCACAAAATACAGTGGCGCCAATGTTACTTCTCTGAGTGGCGCTGGGGATATTTTCGACAGTCTCCTTATTGAAAATGAATTTGGTTACACTCTACCTTCTTGGTCTGATGCAGTTTTTCCAGAACCACTGGCAACATTATCGGGGTACTTATTTGAAAGTTTTGCATACGGTACCAAATTAACTCGTCTCAGTAAGTGACACAAAGATTCAATTGTTTTTCCTATTTTTCATTAGGCATTCGAAACTTTCAACAATTTGGCTTGTTTTGATAATAATTATATTGTGAGAAACCTTTAGTCAGTCCAACGCATCGGAAAGGAACATTCTTAAGTGCAGATATTATGAAAGCCTCATCAACTCAAAAACAAAAATAACAATAAGGTAATGCGGTTTATGTGAAAGCATCCTCCACCCGTGCTTCTCGCAACATTATAGCCCCCTAGGCTCATTACCGGTTTTTTAATGGTACCATCATTATCATTTTCTGTGCATGTCCTTTTTTGAATGTTTGTGTCAGAAAGATAGATAGACTTCATTGAAGCTCATGATTCACACAATTGCGAAGTTCAGGTCAAAAATACAACGCAGCAAAAAAAGAATATGGAAAATATCACAGTCGTATCAATTATCACTGCTAATGTGGGTAACTTTCAAAAAATAATTGCATGAGGTTGTTTCAAGAGATTTTTCCGTTCAAATGTCAATAAATATGTATTCAAGTGTGCCGTGGAATATAATTATCGATAGATCATTTTGTACTCTATAATTTTCAGCTTATTACTTATATAATGTCGTTGAGCGATTTTCGGACAATTTTTCTCTACGAATTCAAATTGAACAAAAGCTTTGCTGAAACAGCTCGAAAATTCAATTCAACCAGGAATTTGACAATTATAGTGTTCATGAACGCACTGTTCCACATTGGTTTGGGAAATTTCGTTTCGACAATTTTTGCGTCGAAGATAATCTACGAAGTGGTCGACCTATAGTTAACCCGGACGAAGATTTGAGGGCTCAGGTGGAGACTGACCCATCACAAACGGTGCGATGGTTGGCGGAAGAACTGGGCGTCAACTCCCATGCGGTTTTTGATGGTTCAAAACATATTGGAAATGTAAAAGTACTCAAAAAGTATGTGCCCCACGAATTGAACGATCGACAGAAATAGTCACGTTTCGAGGTATGTTCTTTGCTTTCGCACTACCCAAACGATCCGTTTTTGGATCGAATCGTCACGTGTAGAGAAAAGTGGATTCTTTACGACAACATGAGACGTTCAAGACAGTGGGTGGACACTGATTGAGCCATCTAGGCAAAAAGCCAAAACCCATATGAATATGAAATCTGAAGTTTTCACGGATAGGAATATGCTGAACTGGTTTTTCCGGGGGTATTTGATCCGTGTATGTGATATTATCTCTAATTTCACCGACGTTTCGACAAAATCTCATTTGTCATTATCAAGGTGTGCTGTTACGTGTTCAGAAGTTTTTTGACCTTGCTCAACTCACTTCTTACTATACTGGTAAAATGGTATTCGAAGTAACAGTGTTCAGAGATAGAGTAGTCCATAAACTCTCTACTACCTACTACTTACATGTTGTTGAGTTTTACCTGAGTTCTTCTTCTTCTTAGTTGACCTCATCTCCCCGTTAAGGTATCGAATATGAAATCTGAAGTTTTCACGGATAGGAATATGCTGAACTGGTTTTTCCGGGTATTTGATCCGTGTATGTGATATTATCTCCAATATCACCGACGTTTCGACAAAATCTCATTTGTCATTATCAAGGTGTGCTGTTACGTGTTCAGAAGTTTGTTGACCTTGCTCACCTCACTTTCTTGTGTTCTAATCTTTTAATATCCCCTCAATATCTTTCTGTTTCTGTCACTCATATAGGAATTCATCAGTTCGAGAGCTGTTTCTCTGATACCACAATGAAATAGTTTTTGAAGTGAAATTGACTGATTGACACTGTCGAAAGCCTAACTCAAATCCAAGAAAACACCACAGACACACGTATCTTTCCCAAGTGAAATTTGATCAATTTGTCCCATTTTATGGACTTTCTTTTGGTTGTCTACTGTCTGTTCATATCCAATATATGAAAATGAATTACTGTTCGTGGGTCTCGCAAGAACTCGAGAAAGGCTGGACCAATTTGTCTAATGAATAAGTATTGAAATATGAAACTGATTCGATGAAATTAATGATGATGATAATAAATGAACTCAAGAACAGCTGCATCAATTTTTATGATTTTTGTGTTTTTTGATTTGTCTTCATCGAGAATAGGATAATAAGTATCAATATATGATATTTCATCAATGAAAATGAAAATAATAATAATAATGACGTGCAACTGTAGAAGGGAGCATCCTACACCATCAGGATGCCGAAGATACGTATACTTACTTCGAGGTGAAACAACGACATTCACAAAAGGTAACAGCAGTGAAAAACTCTTTTCGCAACAAGTATCAGCACAAACTCCGACAGATCTGGTCATCGGAACTGTCGGAGAAGAAGAAAGTTGCTCCAACAAATATGTTTGCCGTTACAATCTTACTCTACTGTTAGGAGTAGTGAAGTGGACTCGGGAGGAGCTGTATCAACTCGACGTAAAGATCCGAAAAATTATGCATCTTCCTCGATAACAGGGAGAATTTTTGAGTTTGGAGTATCTACATGACAGAATGGTACTGGGTATCCCTGTAAAGTCGTCAGGAGTTCGGATTGCCTTCTGTGCATGATCCGCTGCCTTGAGAGACCAGGAGTTGAAGCATTCCTCTTTAGGGTAGCTGCCCAAGCAGCTGATGTATTTGGATCAGTTCTCGACACTGAACGAGGTGATTACAACTCTGTCAACAAGTTGGAACCCGTTCAGCAGAAGGCTCAAATAAACGCCGCAGGGATCACATCACTTCTGGGGCAACACAAGGATAAGCCAATGCATGAGATCTTCTTTAATAATATTGAAGAACTTTGATTATCAAAGCGCCTGACTTTCGCTTTCCTCAGGTCGAGCGGGCTGAAATCGGAAACTGAGGGTTTCATCATGGCAGGCCAGCATGGTGTCTTCAACAACTTAGTCTACCGCAGTCGCGTGATGGTTATAGAGGTTCCTAACATAAGGTGTAGGGCCTGCCGGGAGGCGTCCGAGACCCTCATGCACTTACTGTCAGCATGTCCAGCATATGTGGTATCGACCTATATCCAACGATATAACGCAGCCCTCGGTGCTTTATTACAATCTACGGCATTCTTACGTTATTGACGAGACACCGGTGTTGCCCTATGCTCCTGGGCATATTGAATCCGCTGTAGGGAACTGAAAGTGCCGAATTTATCGAAACTATTCGTCCCCTACCCTCAGGCTCATACAAGGTAATAAGCCTGAGGGTGGGGAAGCAAGTTCTCCACCACCAGAGCAAGACGATACTTGTCGTGGAGTTTTTAGCGACACCAATATCATTCAAAAATAAAAGAAAAAACGGATAAAATATCGAGATATTCTCTTCGAACTCCACAGACTCTATCGAAACCACTCTTGTCAAGATAGTTGTGGTGATTATTGGAGTTCACGGTGGAATGATGCCTCTTTGACTCTCGAATCTCAAAATCATATCAGCTTGCCGCACTGAGGCAGAAATCTTAGCCGGGCAGATGCTGAAGGATGTCATTCTTGGCTCACTGCGCTTGTCGGACCCAATGATCACTCACCCCACGGTGTTGGGAGTGGTCGTTTGTTGATAATACTGGCGCGCTTTCCCGAATGTATCGAGGCTTTGAGTAACAGAGCCTGACTAGCGCTTACTATGACAATAATAATAATAAAATAACTGAAGAACGGCTGCACCATTTTTTATGATTTTTCTGTTTTTGGATTTGTCTTCTTCGGGAGTCGGATGAGTATTGAAATATATTCCATCAATCAAAATAATAATTATAATGAAAGAACTCAAGAACGGCTGGACCAATCTTTATGATTTTGGTGTTTTTGGATTTTTCTTCGTATTTTTGTGTTTTTAGATTAGCCTCTATCCGGAATAGGATGATGAGTATTGAAATATGATATTTCATCATTAGGAATAATAATAATGATGATGATAGTGACAGAACTCAAGAACACCTGGACTATTTTTTATGCGTTTTATGTTTTTGGATTTGTCTTCATCGAGAATAGGATGATATATGATGATGAGTATTGCAATATGATATTTCATCAATAAAACTGATGATAATGATAATAAAACTCGAAAACAGATTCACCAATTTTTATGATTTTCGTGTTTTGGAATTGTCTTCGTCGGAAATCCGACAGCTCACATGTGTATCACATGTATATCTTAAAAATAAGATATTTTTCATTGAGTCCTATCCATAAAGTTTTCGTTGAGTAACCTTATAGTTATTCTGAGCCAATTACTGTTTTGTTTGATTAGGTTTTTAGTTCTGTTTTTCGATTTCCTGCATATTTGAACACTGATTCTAATCAGTGATTATTCAACTCTCTACAAAAGCGTCATACTCTACCTTCTATTTCGTGTTAAGTGTAGGAGGTGGAGAACTATACACACGTTGATAGATTGATAGATACTAAAACTCGTATTGGTTCGTCTCTATTTCATACATGTTGAGTATCCATATGGAACACATCAACATCAAGCGTGAAATATATTTCATATTACGTTTTTTTCATGAAAGAACTGCAAAGATATCAGAGCACGTACCACGAATCTAGCTAAACACACATTTTTGATGACCGCAAATCGTTTCGCAAAGTGCAGCAAAGAAATTAATTGTCAGTTTTGTTGGTTTGAGAAATATTTCATATCAGACTAGGAAAAAATAATGATATGTGAAGCTTATCAAAATTCATCTTCATGAATACAGTGAAATTCTTGTCAATGCTTTTTTGAAATTCGTTATTTCAAAATCAAGATTTCCTAAATGAATTCAATACCTCACTATTTTCACAAAACGTCATGAAAATTTATATTGCTTTTCTGAATCAATATTATGTCTCTATCACATTTATACCAACAACTCACTTATACACATGACACAATAGCAATATTTCAAAAAAAAAATATATCAATAATAAAAAAAGTGTTTTCTATAAAATATTGTGAGGTCGTCCTAGACTGTCTATCGACGCTCGTTTCGCTAGACGAGTTAGCATCTTCAAGAGATGACCCATCATTCCCATCATTCATAGACGAAATTGGTTTTCTTCAAATCAAAACATTTTTGTATTTCAAGTTACCGCTTTGGAATCTTAGACGTTCTGCCTATATAAAAATTTCGAAAAATCTACATCTTAGCTTGATAGACACCTGATTTGTTGTCACTGTTTGATTATTCTCAAAATTCACTCGTTCACTTCGAATTATTTGTTATTGACCGATTATTGCATGGAAATTAAACTTTTATCAACTCCATTTATTGAATGATTCAATTTTGTTGTTTGTAAAAAAGCATCGGAAAATAGTTTAAGATAACAGTTAAAAAAAACTGTATAGTGAAATACGTTTAGAATAAATGTCATACTGTAAAAGTTGCTCAATTATCATCATGGATATATAGATTTATATATAGAGCAATATCAAATTTTTTACCACAATAAATCTGAACTTTTCAGGTTCCGGAGCCTTTCTCAATGAAGTCATAGAACACTTCGAGAAAGTGAAAGAAAATTCCTCAGGTGAATTGTTCCGAATGTACAGTGCTCATGACACCAACATAGCAACAATCCTTTCTGGCTTGGGATCATTCAAGCCTCATGCCCCTTATTTTGCCAGCACCATCTACTTCGAGCTATGGAGGTCTTTCTTGGGATCGTACTATGTCAACATTTATTATAAGCAAAAAGATGTTGTCGAGAAGATAACTCCACCTGGGTGTCTTCAGTTTGATTGCAATCTAGAAAATTTAAGGAATCACCTTAGTGACGTCCTCATTGACAGCCCTACGTTGAAAAAAGAATGTGTTTGAATATCAACAAAAAAAGTTGGCGAAAGAACTACAAACCAATAAAATCGCCTTTATAATAAATAATGTAGAGAAGAATAAAAACAAAATTTAATTGTAATATGTAATTGAAACAAACAATAACTGGGTCATAATAAAAAAAAATTTTACAATGTGTTGTTAGTTCACCTTGAATATTACCTATGAGAAATAATGAAATACAAAAATTGATTTGGTAGTCTGAAATTCACAATATAGTAGAGGGGCCATGTGACTCGAAAACGATTTTCGTAGGTTTGGAATATATTATACACACAAGTAGGATCATTGGAATCAGCTTGATATCCTGACTAAAGTTCCATACTGAATAACGGTGAAATAAAAAATAAATTCAGACAAAAGTTAGTTGCTATTTTCAGCTGTGGGTACCCAAATAGGTACCGCTTTGGGTTCTCATTATAGATAGATAGAAAGATCTTTAATTGCTACGGTTACATATAACGTACATATATAAACTTCGAGGAGTGTGGAACATGTCAGTAATAAATAACAAGTAAATAACAAATCAAAGCTTCACATACATAATCAATATCATCACACAACTAGTTTTGAGACAAAAAATAAATAAAATCAGGCATTTATAAATAATATTCATATAGTTAGCATACTATCATTTAAGAATCCCTGCAAGCTATAAAAAGGTTTTTCTGCGAGGTAGGTAGTTCTTCAAACGACATTTCATTGTTGGAATTGATAGACTTTTAGAGTGAGTAGAAATTTATTGTAAATGATTATAATGCTATATTTGACATTTCTTCGTATGTATGTATAGTTGTATTTCTCATTTTTAAGATCATTCTTTGTTCTGGTGTTGTATACGTGAGCCTTTTCACAGGTAATGGAAAGTTCTGATTCACTTTCTGATACAAATACTACTACTCCATATATATTTGGAGATTTATCAAAGTTAAAATTTTGCTCCTAATAAAAGCTTCTCTGCAGCTATCGTTTTTTTCATCTTCTAGATATACCTGATACTTTTTTTTATAGTACGACTATCCTAGAGATATCAAGAGTTTCCCCAGAAGCTGCCCTCTCTGCATACTATGCAGAGAGGGTAGCATCGGTAGAGACATGTATCGACAGTATTCTCATTGCATAGCAATATTTTGCAGTATTTTTTGATAAGAATTCTATGTGATTTTTCCAGTCCAGTCTTCTATCTATCAACAGTTCCAAAATGTTTTTCCTGATTGCATATGTTTATATTTTGATCATTATATTCAAAGCTATTCAACTGTGGCAAGGATCTATTTGCGAAATAAATTATTTGAGTTTTGTCAATATTCAGTAACAGGTCATATGCTGTGAGGAACATGTTTTATACATCCAGCAAATTTGTTGTCTTTGTCATGACCGAATGAGAGTTCTTTTCTTTAACGATGACCGAATCAGCATATAATACAATATATTCATTAACTACATTTGGTATTTCATTTGTGTACAGTATATATAATAATGGGCCTAGGATAGATCCCTGTGGCACACCTTTTTCTATCACAATTGATTCTGATTTGATTATTCCCGGGATGTCATTTTCAATCAAATGTTGGGTGATGTTTGTCATATAGGATTTGATTGAGTCCAAAGATGTGCCTTTGAATCCTCAAGAAATTGGAAAATTAGGTCCATAAAGCTAATTACAATCTGAATGAACTCAAAATTATCTGGATTTTGATGTGAATAGTTATATATCAGGTAGAATAACAATTTTGAGTTTTTAATGAATGTCTTATGTGTACTGAAGGGTACATTAAAATAGTCGCTATTCAGTTTACGAATTGAATATCAGTGTTCCTATATGACAGTATAAAAAGACTTGAAATATACCCAATTCCCAAGGAATCCAGGAGTCCAAGAGTATTAGTCAAATGAGATCAAATATCTCGGAATGAGACATAGTCAGCTATAAAGTTGTATAAGCCTTTATTTTGGCACCCTCAATCTTGTCTCAGAACCCACTTATCAAAGGATGTTCACGACTACAGATATTCCATGATCGAAGGTGAAAAATTCGATTTTTCACCCATTCGTTGCAAATATCTCGTTTCATAAGAGTTTTATAACCATACATATATTATAGAGGAATAAATTCTCTACAACTTTTGATTGAAATTTTTTTTTATTCTTGAACTATTTTCGAGTTATAGGGCTGAGCAAAACGCGTCTAGAATGTTTTTTTTTTGTGAAAATTGCTTTATTATTACGATGGAAAGTTTTGAAATAGAACCTTATGGAATAATGCAGAGTTGAATATAACTATTATTTAGGATTTCGGGATTGTGTAATACACTTTATTTATAATATCAGAATAACACAAGAACAACGCAATCGTTTCCAATGACTAACAGACTACTCGATTAGCAATGAACTTCCGATCATTACATCTTATGCTGCCATCTATATGAAACAGAATGAAGTATCACAAGACAAAATGTAAGTACATGAAACTAACAAAGCATATGAAAGTGAGGGCCATTGAATAAGTACATAATTGCCAACATTAACACTTCCCTTCAATTCTGTGAAATCATAAAAGGTATACTCAATATTTAAGGTAAACAAAATTTTCTATCGAATATGAAATTGTTTACGAGGAAGTGACATTCAGTAGATTTCTGAAATATTTAAATTTCGGAGCTGATAATAGTTTTGTGAACATATCAGCCAGCTCTTCATTAGTTTGTACATAGAACAATAGTAGTTGGTTTATGCCAATTTTAGAACCTTCCTTCATTACTTTCAACCTTGAACGAACTTCATTGATTCACGAAGCTATTCCGAAGATTTGAAGATTCGACCATGATCGACCTTCAGCTGCATGGACGAAGGCTTTTGGAATGTGTTCTGATAATGATCTCCACCTACGTCACACGAAGTAGCCAACGTGACTTTGAAGAAGTGTGTTGAGTTTGACCTTCAACAACTTTGACCTATGTCACACGACTACGCAGACAGGGTGACTTTCAGGGAGTGTTTTAGGTTTGATCTTTAAGGTTACTTTATGAACTTGAGCCAGTTACGTGGCTTTCTTGAAGGTTTGAACCTTCAGAACACAACGTACCCAAGCTAACTTTGAGGGAGTGGAGTGTTTCGAGTTCAATCTTGAACAACCTTGACCCAGATCATACGACGTGACTTTGGGGTAGTGTTTTGGGTTTGTCATTGAATTACTTTCTTTGATTCACCCGGCTATTTCGAAGATTCAGGGATTCAACATTGAACGACCTTTAACTGCATTGACGAAAAGGCGTGCGTTTCCAGTTTGACATTTAGTGACCTTTATGCAATATCTTATGCTTTCGCTGAAGTGAGTCACAAAATTCGAGCAAAGTGACTTTGAGGTAATGTTTCGAGTTTGACCTTCATCAATTCACGCAGCTATTTCGAAAATTTAAGGATTAGACTTTCAGATGCATGGACGAGGGCTTTTGGAGCGCGTTCTGAGAATGACCTACACATCTGTCACACGAAGTAGCCAAGATGACTTTGAGGAAGTGTATTGAGTTTGACCTTGAACGATCTTGACCTATGTCATACGACGTAGACAAGTTCACTTCGAGGTGGTGTTTTGGGTTTATCCTTGAATGGCCTTCATTCACTCTCCATATTTTCGACTAGGTAACTTTGACCACGAATGAACTCGAGCCAGTTACACGGCTTTCTTAAAGTTTTGAACCTACACGACACAACGTTTCCAAGGTGACTATGAAATAGGGTTTCAAATTTAACCTTGAACGTCTCAGAAATACGTCACACAACGCAGGCAAGGTGACTCTGGGGTAGTGTTTCGAGTTTGATATTTAATGACATTCATTGATTCACACGACAATTTTGATACCATCCACCTAGCGTTTGGCATTATATACTTGCTCGCTTAGCAGAGAGTTGCCGTGATTGGTTCAGCCAGAATGGGGATGCGAAGATGCATTGCAAGGATGTATTGCATTTCCGCTCTCGACACTTCGACAGCAAGTTGTGTGATGAACTCGATTTCTCACAAAATATCCAGAGAAATCTTGGAAATTTCCAACTTCCGTTTTTCGAAGAAATTTTTCGGTTTCATATAAAAGACGACACCATGGTGAAGAAATTCTCATGCCGCGAGACGATATTCCCAGGCGTTCTAGCTGAAAAATGAGTTGGAAAGTGTGACCGTTTAGGTATATTTTCAGCCGTAAAACTCGAATGAATTATGAATAAAATCTGACCACGAACGATAGAAACGCGGTCGCAATCTCAAACGAAAGCTGTTGATGAACTCTATCGATGCTTCTTTCGAAAATTTCCTATTTCCTTGTCGAAGCAACTGAAAAGGCCATTTTCTCATGAAATATCTAGCAAAATCGTGGACAATTTTCAACTTCCATATTTTTTTTTTATTCTTTGTTTTTACATAAAAGACGATGCCCTGAGGAAAAAATCACATGCCGCGAGAAGATATTTCCAGGCTTTCTAGCTGAAAAATGAGTTCTAGAGTGTGATCCTTCAGGTATATTTTCAGCCGTGAAATCCGAATGAAACATGAATGAAATCTGAACTACGCACGCTAGAAATACGGTCGCAGTCTTGAATGAAAGCTGCTGATGAACTCTATCGATGCTTTTTTGAAGAAATCCCGATTTCCTCGTCTGAATAACTGAAAAGGCCATGAACTATCCTGCAAAATCGTGGAATATTTTCAACTTTAATTTACTGAACATTATCCTACGGTTTTATATAGAAGACGATGCCCTCTGAAAGGCTCTGAAAGTTCAGAGTTAGTAGCGATATGACAGACGCCCCAACAAAAATGCGTATTTTTGAAAAAACATGATGTAACTCAGAAAATATCAATGATATCGATATGTGGTTTTCATCATTAAGTTTGTCATAAAATTTGATCATCAGACATAGCCATCAGTTTTTATCTATATGGTTTGAAAACAGGAGCTTTAAAAATGTTCAATTTGGCCCACTCTGTACACAATCGTAAGAATAGCGATTAATAACAAATGAGTGAAGTTTGTATTCATGGTTTTTGTAAAATAATGCATTTCAATCTTTGAACCGTATCTGTCCGATGAATAGGGGCATTATTGTCATAAAATAGAACACTTTCATTCAATTTC